AGTTCACTCACTTCAGTTCACTTCTGTTCATGTAGACCGAGCTCATTATCTGAAAACTACCGATACTATCCGGGAACAGTAAGAAAAACGCTATTGAGCTATAAAACATTCGATACGTTGTGCACTATTATTACACAACTTTACGTTTACCTAACATCAGTCACTCACGTCTGTTCATGGAGCGAGTTCATTGTTATTTGAAAATATATAAGCATGACCTTTCCTCGATATTGAATAAAAAAGTGCCGAAAAAATGTACTTTATTGACAGAAAATATGTGATATTTCGGCCACTGGCCTTTGTCGAACATATACCGGGTGGCCCAGAAAAAACGTTCCCAACTTTAAATCAATATTTCTCAGAAAGTGATAAAGATACAACATTGAAACTTCGAATAGTTAATGCGGCACACATTTTCAGTAAATGGTGTGATTTTCATGGTGTTCGGTAAATTACTTTTTAAACGGTTCGTGTTTCAAGCATGCCATGTAAAAATTACTTTTTTGCTCCGATGTTTACTCAAAAATGTGAGTGAACAGGTCACTTTCACCCCTCGGCACCACGGCCTAGAGCCATGGCTGCTACTGGCAGCTAGTCTCATTGATGGTTCGGGTCTCAGGATGACACATTCCATCAGGCAACCACGATGGCTCTGTGCCAGTGGCATCGGAAGAAGTTTCCAGTTTTCTAACCATCTTGTGGCTCAAATGCTTTCCTGGCTGACATGCCTGGGAAAAGGTAGCTTTTCAACCAGTTTTCTTTTTTGTCATCTGCTGGCAATGTTGTTTTTCATAAAATGTTATGTGGTCTTCTGGCACAGGAACTAGTCTGTTTTAGTTTGTTTTCCTTATCCGGTCGATTTACTGTTTGATCTACTGAAAGGAGGGTAATCAGCAGTAATCCATGCACCGTGCCACGAATCATGATTTGGTGTTAAAACGAATGGCATCCATGAGCACCATTTTGGCTCAGTATTTGAATATTTGGCACATAAGTGAGACACAAATATTTAAAATAAGAACATACGTGTTGGTTTCATTCACATGCTCTATTTTTCTATTCTTTTTTATAACATGGGGCGTCTAACCCAATCATCACTATCGTTTGACATCGGCAAAAAAAGCAAAAACGTCTTGCTTAATTCAACTCAAGATTGCCAGCTTGAAAATGATGGTATAGTGTTATAATTTAGCATACCAATGCGCAAAGAAATAACGCAAACTTGCTGAAAATTTTGTCTCGTTATTTGCACTCGAATTTGATATATAGGCCTCCAAAGTTCGGAACGTTTTTTTCTGGGCCACCCGGTATAATCAAGATAAACAACGCGACGAAACTTTCAGTACCCTCGCATTGATCAACTTTACACGTTCCCTGAAAATTTCATGACCCTGACCCCAATGACCTTTGACCTGTGACCTCTTTTCCGTGACTATGTTTGGCCGAAATCGCGATTCGGCGTATGTCGGCTCGCATTAGCCGCGCGTTTGCAAGCTTTTCGTGGTTTTGTTTATCTTGATTATATATGTTCGACAAAGGCCAGTGGCCGAAATATCACATATTTTCTGTCAATAAAGTATATTTTTCGGCACTTTTTTATTCAATATCGAGGAAAGGTCATGCTTATATATTTTCAAATAACTATTACAATGTAGTAAAGAGCAAGTAGCATACGAATATATTCAAGTAGCAATTACATATAAATACGCGGACCGGTTTCGTCTATGAAAGACTTCTTCAGCGCTTTTTCAAAAACGTATAACAAGAAAACTAGCACAGTGACAATCGTTTGAAATAAAATCGGATTCAGTTAGAAAATAATAAGCATTGCTGAGTAGGGCACCTACTACCTAAAAACACTCACAATCTATCATAATATTTCGGTGATTATGCTCCTACACCAAACATCAACGTTCGATACATCAGTAAATGCCTAAAAGTTAAACATGTTTGACGGTGTATAGAAATCTATTTCATTTCTCTCTCTCTCTCTCTCTCTCTCTCTCTCTCTCTCTCTCTCTCTCTCTCTCTCTCTCTCTCTCTCTCTCTCTCTCTCTCTCTCTCTCTCTCTCTCTCTCTCTCTGTCTCTCTCTCTCTCTCTCTCTCTCTGTCTCTCTCTCTCTCTCTCTGTCTCTCTCTCTCTCTCTCTCTCTCTCTCTCTCTCTCTCTCTCTCTCTCTCTCTCTCTCTCTCTCTCTCTCTCTCTCTCTCTCTCTCTCTCTCTCTCTCTCTCTCTCTCTCTCTCATCTTCAGCTTTTTTGCTGATGTAATTGCTACTTGAATATATTCGTATGCTACTTGCTCTTTACTACATACCTGTCCAATATATCTACAACTATTACAATGTTCCTCGCACAAGCACTTAACTCCATCAGAGCGAGTTCATTGTCTAAAAACTACCGATACTATCCGGGAATAGAAAGAAAAACGCAATTGAGCTATAAAACATTCGATACGTTGTGCACTATTATTACACAACTTTACGTACTTACTGTGTGAAGTACAGTAACATATTATGCATGTCGCATATTCGCAATACCATCAATGACTGTTTACCACTAGGCACAGTACCTACATGATAACAGAAAACAGCGAGTCCTGTGCACCAAAAATATAGTTACTTTCATTTTAATTTATTTACAGTCATTTTAGAGGCTTCTTGACCTAGCTTAACCTGCCTTACCCCTCGCCGGCACAGGGGGGGGGGGGTGATGCAACCCCCCCTAAGGTTTTTCGCGAATAACTCGCGTAAAAAGCGGCCGATCGCGACGAAACTTTCAGTACCCTCGCATTGATCAACTTTACACGTTCCCTGAAAATTTCATGACCCTGACCCCAATGACCTTTGACCTGTGACCTCTTTTCCGTGACCATGTTTGGCCGAAATCGCGATTCGGCGTATGTCGGCTCGCATTAGCCGCGCGTTTGCAAGCTTTTCGTGGTTTTAAACGTTCAAACATGTGATTTGATGTTGCTCCCATACATAAGGGTGGGTGTCAAGGTCACCTGAAGGTCAGGTCAGGTCATTGACCTTTGGTGACCTCGGGTGACCTCGGTTCACTTTTTCGAGTTTTACATGTTTCTAGGCTAGTTTTTGGAGCTGAATTCGAATTTAGCAACAATTTGAACATTTACGAAGTAGTTTTGGTGCCTTCGTAACATGTTACGAAGCTGTCAGAGGCGGTTGACACGTATTACGAATACCCGTCACAACCCCTACCGGTTGACCTGACCTGACCTGACCCAACCTGGTCTAAATGCTTAAAAACATCATCTCTGATCAAAACTAACACGATATTCGTGATCAGCACCCCGGAAAACAACATAGCAGCCACACTTTACGACTTTCTAACAGGTCCCGATTTTCCCGGTTTCGGGTCATTGACCTGACCTGGAAGGTCACCCGATGACCTAGGACCTTAACCCTCGCCCGCACATGCCATTTTCCCATCCTAGAACGCACATGGGGGGGGGGGGGGTGGTTGCCACCCCCCCCCGCGCCATTTCGTTCCTGTTGGAGATAGAGCTTAGCAGTAAAGGCCAAAAAGATTCTTTGGGAAGAGACGAATCCAATGATACCCAGTTTTACCTTCTCAGGTCAGTCATTGACCTTCCAGGTCAGGTCAAACTAAAAAATGTTGCTGTTTTGGGTCACCGTTGGATATCAAGTGTGCTGCTTATCAAATACCGATGACGATGCTGTTTTCTGGTGCCAAGCCAGCTAGAACCTCTTTGTCACACTACCCGACCAGAATTTTGCTGCTGAGGTCATTTCAGGTCAAGTTAGGTCAAGGTCAATTATATGTGTTTGTATGTCTGTGTGTGTCTGTGTGTATACTGATGTGTGCACCGATTGTTTTTGGGTCCATATTACATGAAATCATGATCTGAGAAGCTTTTACCAAAAATGCAGTCAAAAAACTTCAAAAAAAGTAAATTCAGCTTGCCTGAAACGCAATTATCTTAGGTGACCTAGGTTGACCTTGACCCTGACCTTGACCCCTGTACATCGTCAAACAACATGTTCCATGATAGTTAGGAGGTAAGACTGGCAAAAAAGGCCGAAATCAGGGTGTCAAAAGCTCATAAGGCCCATGGCAAACGCAAGATGTTGAGAATTGGCCATTTGGGTCATGACATGACCTGAAAAACAAGGTCATATCTCCGAAACCAAAAATCACAGAAACTTGAAATTTTTAGTGGACATCAAGAAAGGATAGAGGAGCAGCTATACGAAAAATCAGCCTTCTAGCTCTAAAAATGTTGAGTGCAGAACAGAAAGACTACCTGGGGGGGTGGCAACCACCCCCCCCCCCATGTGCGGGCGAGGGTTAAAATTGGGTATCATCGGCTTCCTCTCGTGACGGGCAACACGCTCGTTTTTTTCCGCGAAGCTTTAGCTCGATCAGGGGCCAAACGCGAGGGGGGTCGTACCAACCCCCCCCCCCCTTGTGCCGTCGAAGGACGCAAAATGGCCTGTGCCGGCGAGGGTTAAACAGCTTTTCTGGGTAGACTCCAAGTCCTAGCTGTCAAATATATTTTGAAGGCATGCAATGGTACACTGCATGTAGAGCACAATTATTTATTTACTTCCTTTTCCGCTATAGCGGAAACACTATTCACATTATAGTGTGAACTTGGTCTCAGTCTGGGCTCAGACTGCAGCTAAAAGTTTCCCAGTTCCCATCCGATCCACGTGGTCCGATCCTTGTGCGTCATCCCTGTGGTATCCCCACCCGGCGCCGTCCCCCGTCCCTCAATCTCTGCCCTGCCTAGAGTATCCCCTACCTCGGTTCTATCCGGTGTACCCCCTCCCTAGTACCCCCCCCCCCCCCTCAGTTCTATCCGGTGTATCCCCTTCCTCAGTTCTTTCTGGTGTACCCCTCCCTCACTGCCCTGCCCTGCCCGGCGTATTCCGGTGTATCCCCTCCCTCACTGCCCTGCCCTGCCCGGCGTATTCCGGTGTATCCCCTCCCTCACTGCCCTGCCCTGCCCGGCGTATTCCGGTGTTTCCCCTCCCTCACTGTCTACCTTGCCTGGCGTATTCCGTTGTATCTCCTCCCTCACTGTCCGCCCTGCCCGTCGCCGACCACCTCCCTGAGCACCTGCATCACCTCCCGAGAGAAGCGCTCGGCGTGCTGCGGCCCGGCGCGGCCGTTCACAAAGTTCAGGTCGTAGCAGAGCCGGCCAGCCACCGTCTGGAAGCAGTGGCTGCCGAACGCGCTGGTGGTAGCGTGGTCGCGGTACGTGCGGTGCAGCTCGGCGGCTCGCACGTGCACCGTGCGCGGAAACACGGTGTCCAGCGAGCCGATGTTGTTGATGCCGTACAGGATTTTGCTGCGCGGCGGTACAGGCGCGGTCGGCGGCGGCGGCGGCTTCTCGGGAGGGCTGAGGCCGCGGTAGAACGGCTCGATGGTTTTCAGCAGCAGACGGCTGTCGAGGTGGTCGTTCAGTTGGTCGCGCACCTGAGCAGCCAGCTGCCAGAAGTGGTCGCCGTCCGTGCGAGACACGCGCACAGAGTCGAACAGGAGGCCGGCGCCGGCCATGGGCACGCCACGCGCCTCCGGCAGGTAGCGGCGCATGTTGACCATCCAGAGAGTGGGCAGCGAGACGGGCGGCGACACGGCGCCGGCCGGCGCGCCGGGGGCCGCCAGCAGGCGCGCCGCCGCCAGACTGACGGCCGCCGACACGGCCGCGTTCATTGTCACCCCGTGCTGGCGGCACAGAGCGCGCAGCCGCTCCGACTCGGGCTGCGACATCACCTGCGGCAGCATCTGGTTCCAGTAGCTCTCCAGCGGCCGGTCCGGGTCCAGCGGCGCCACGAACCGGTCCAGGAACGGGTGCTGATCGCGGCCGTACCATACACGCATTGTGCGCAGCGCGGCGCGCACCAGCGCCAGGCTCAGCGGCGGCCGCGGCTGCTTCTTGGCGAGCTCCTCGACCGGGGCTGGCAGCGGGGCCGTCTGAGAGACGTCCGGCTGGCCGCCGGCCGCCAGCCGGTCCAGGTTCTCCAGGAAGCGGCCCAGCAGCAGGCCGTTGCTGGATCCGTCCGTGATGCTATGGCAGATGCAGAAGTAGAGCACGGCCCGGTGCGGCGCCGCCGTCGGCGCGGCCGCCAGGCCGGCCGGCTCGTGCAGCAGCGCCGCCTTCCAGAGCGGCTCGGCGGCCGGGTCGATGTGCACGTGCCGCAGCTGGCGGTGGTGTTCGGCCAGCCAGTGACGGGCCGGGGGAAGTACCGCCAGCGGCACGTCCGGACACGGCCCGGCCACCAGGTGCTCGGCGCCGTCCACCCGCTCCACGCGCGCGCGCAGCAGCGGGTACTGCCTGGGAAAGGGGACACCCGAGTAGACATCAGAGGGGTCATCGGGGCTCTGACTGTAATTGCGCGGTCCTTCTCCACACCGACCACGTTTCCATGGGTATCACATCCGGATCAGCAAATTTAAACCGCATTTTATTTCTCGAACTCTTCGCTACAGGGTAGAATTCAAAGTGGATTAGGCTTATAACTATAAGCAGTTAATCCCTTATTTTGATTTTCATATAGTGTCCAACTTTACTGGATTAGCTAATCCATTTTCACTGATCCGGATCAGTGATGCCCATGGAAACGTGGTCACTGTCTTTGTGATAATCCATCACATTCACACCCCGAGTCAGTACCGGCCGTTAGCTTAACTGTCATTAGACGTTCAATTTAGCATTTCTGAACAATTCTTATCGGACGAGAATGATAGGTTAGATTGAAAACATTGCCAAGTCTCGTCTCGCTGATAGAAGAGCTGTTGACACAAGCAATTACGTAGCCTGAAGTGAACACCGGCACTTTGAAAGTTTCAAAGACATGAGCCGTGAGCGGATATATGGTGCAAATGTAACCGCATGCTATCTGTCTGCTCATACGCATATTCACGACGGTTACCTTGCACACATTTAGTCACATTTGGTGCCATTTCGTCAATGATTCTTAGAAGTTTGTTAGTTGCTTAGCAGTGCTTATCTGTCTAACTTATCAACTCATCAACATTTTTTTATATTTTAATTCTGAAAAACATCCTGCAACGAAGATGCTTGCCGTTAAAGGAAAAGGGCCACCTTCGTGAAATATGAAGATATCGTTGTTTTTCATTTTGACATTATTATTTTTCATTTTCTTTTTAAAACTGGTGCCAGAAGCATGGGCGCCGCCACCGGGGGGGGGGGACGGGGGGGACGCGTCCCCCCACTCTCAGAATGGAAGGGGGACGTCCCCCCCAAACTCATTACGGAGCGAGCGAAGCGAGCGTAGTCTTTCGGGAAATTTCTGAATTTTGAGTATGAGCGGCCGGCCGTGGTCATGCTTTTGCGAGACTTATATCTCAGGAACCACTTGACTGATTTACATGCCGTAATTTTTGAAGGGTAGCTTCATTCCTTCTAACAAGCATTGAACTATTCTCGATGCATGTGGGTGACCCATTATGCACCTGCCACGTGAAAAACGAAGAGGTCAGTTTTGTAACAATTATAATATCTCGGTAACATACTGGGCCGATTGCGCTGAAAGTTGGCATGTAGGTAGGCACCCACTAGGCAATGCATATCCTTGACCATGTGCCACAGTTGGGGGTTGCTTGCACATGCAGGGGTTGATTCCAGATCTCGAGAACGGCTGAACCGATTATGCTGAAAGTTGACACATGGTTAGGGAGTAGGGACCGGTTAGTAGGGTGCAGTGCACAAGTTGGTTGGAGGTACCCCCTCGCAATTTCGTACGTGCAAGGCCCACCCCTCGCTCGCTCCGTTGGTCGCCCCAAAAGGCGTTTTACTGGTTGTTTTCCTACTCGAAATTTGATTAGGCCCTTCGGTCCAATGAGACCATTTCAGAGCGGGAGGATGAAAGAATCAGTGGGAGACATTGGTCTGGGCAGCCACGCCAGTGAGCCACTTGGGCTGAACCCGACCAATTGAACAGGCAGCCCAGCCCACTGGCACTCACTGCACCCGGCAAAGGACTATAGCTCCAGTGGAGCCATTCCCGCATGGGATAAAGTTGCCCGTCCAGCCCGGAGCAGTGGATCGCGGCGTGGAGGAGAAGGATTTGACTGTCCTGAGGATGGAAGAGATGGAACGGTGCCGAATCTGAGAGGGTCCAGGAGGTTTAGATACTCAGTATATGGGGTATGGGCCTACATGCATTGGTCTGACCCCTGCCACCTCGGCCAACAAAATCTCCAGCTCTTATCCGACCCGTCATCGCGGAACTGCCGATTTTTGATATCGTGATCAACGTGTGTCGCATAACACGACTGGCAGAAAACGGGCATAATATATTTCGTCTAACTAGCCAAGAGCATGATTTTAAACCAATCCGACCTCGGAGTCAAAATCCGAACAATTTCGAAGACTTCAACTCCGACTCTGGCCAAAACTTTCACTCCGACTAATTCCGGCTCCGACCCCACAGTTCTGCAGTCACACTACACTAAATTTTCAGCTTCTAAGAAATAAGCTATACCTACCGTTGACAGGACCACAAAACTTTGAGGCGACTTGACTACTTGACTTGGTGACCTGACCTAAAGTTTTCTGGTATCAAACTTGTTAAACGGGCTGCAAAATTCGTATTTTGGAGCAGTTTTGCCTGATGTTTTTTTGCCAATTTTCGCGGCGCTTCGCGCCGATTCATGCACAAGCCAGAAAGAGAGATTGTAACTATACAACGCCTCCTCCCCCACGCGGGTATGCATCCTATGCAATATGCATTACCGATCAGATTAGTGGCATACATCAGCAATTTTACCCTGATAGAACACTAGAGGCTTTGCCGTGTCAAAATTGAATCGGACATCAGATGTGTATATAGGTAGGTACTCGGTGGGAATTCGGTCTCGGGTTAAAGGAAATACCTAAACTACTTTCCTCAAACCAGTTGTTTTGCCACAGGTTTATGAGTCTTTATGCTTAAAATGGTCAGGAAATAACATAATGAATATTTGCAAAAGGGTTTTATTTTTCATAAGAAGTTAAGAACCAATTACCGTCTTTCGTAGAGGCCTGATATTGCAGCGGAAGCTGATTACGCGTTGGCCAATCATATAACGTAGTTCAAACCAGCTGAATGCTGATTGGCTGGTATTTTTCCGTAAGAGAATGGATTCCTCGGCAAGGGTCTTCAAAACCTAAGTCTTCAAACCTAAAATCGATACCGATATCTTTGGCTAGGGTGATCGTTGGGCCATAAAAGCTCCTGATTTGTTCTTGTCTCAGCTCAGGCTACAAAACTGTTACTTCAGTTCAAAACCCAATGTTAAAAGTGGCATATTTGCTTTAAACTTTGAATGCAGCGGGCCGAAAAAGCCACGGTAAGAATGCCTACTTTTGGGTTTTCAGTCGGTCAGTCCGTCCCCCCCAGTCAAAAATCCGTGGCGGCGCCCCTGGCCAGAAGTGCACAATTCGCGGTAAAAGTATTTAAAACTATTTAACATATTGGTACTATGTTGATACTCTCTACGGCACCTACTGTATGATGGCATAGCGATGACGTCACACTCAAGCCAATCAGCGTTCAGAAGACAGACTCGTCGGATTGTGTCAGATAAGCTGATTGGTTAAAGCTGAGCTGGTTGGAGCTGATTGGCAAAAAACCAAAGCCTCGCCGCGGGTGGCTGTATTGTCGGATAAGAACGCATTCCTGGGATAAGGACGCATTCCTGGCGTATTTTCTTTTAGAATTGCCGATAACTACGAATGGAGGCCGAAATCGGCCGTAAGGAGGTAGACAGATAGGTTTTCGGACACGGGCTACAAGATGGCTATCTCAGTTTCAATCCCCATGTTAAAGGTGGCCCTTTTCCTTTAAAGACATTTGGTTGGATTTGTTCAAGGAAGCAAGTTATTTGCAAGATAACCGTTGATGAAAACGGCTAATGAATAGCCACCAGGACAAATCTTCCTGTCTTCCATAAGTCAGGGAAATTCACAGGGACTCAAACGAGGCTAGAAACGAGCAAGCACTGTGCGTGAGTGCGCATGCGATGTCCCAATTTTTTGTGCTGAAAACGAAAGCGGAAACGATAGGGGAAGTTGGGGCAATGCCGGAGTTGGGGCAAAGCCGAAATTCGAGATATTTCTAAAACCGTAAGACATGGATGCCACCTGTCAGTGATGCATAGGCGGCGGAACGATTTGAGACAAGGGGGGGCACCATGGCTCAAGGAGCCAAACCTAGGGTACCCCCAAATCCTGTTTTCTCATCGGATTTAGGCCACTTATTTTTCGTCACAGCCCTGACACGATGATTTTTTATTATTTTTTTTTTTTACTAAACGAAAATGGCAGTTCACCCCCGTATGCAGGGGTGTACCTAATTTTATATCTCTTTGTGGGGGCATATGCAGCCACCCACAATCCTGAATTATGCCCCCACAATGATGAAAAAGCACCCACAAGTCTTTTACAAGGCTGCAAGCGTCCTTTCGAAAGCACGGTGCCCTTCGCATGCTCTAACGGCCTCCTCCTGACCGTCTCGCGTTCATGGATAGCGTTTTTAATCACTCGGCGCCCTTCTGGGAGAATGGCGCACTTTTGACAGCACCGCGCCATTCTCATGGTCTAACGGCGCCCTCCTGACCGTCTCGCGTCCTTAGGTCTCTGTTCACCGTGCATCCCTCGACTATTCGGCGCCCTTCTGGGCTCTCAGCGCCCCTGAACCACATATAGCGTTTTCAATCACTCGGCACCCTTTTACGAGAATGGCGCCCTTTTCATGATCTCAAGGCGCCCTCGTAACCATCTGGCGCCCCCACGTCCCCACCAACGTAGCACTACTGACTGTGCGGCGCCCTTCTGGCCTTTTAGCGCCCTTGGACCACATAGCGTTTTCAATCACTCGGCGCCCTCCTAGGAGAATGGCGCCCTTTTCATCGTCTCACGGCGCCCTCGTAAGTCGTAACCGTCTGGCGCCTCCACATTCGGTGCCCCTCCTACTGGATGGCGCCTCTTTTGTTTGTTTGTTTTGTTGGGTTAGGCCCTTTCGGTCGACAAGACCATTGCAGAGCCGGAAGGATGATAGGATTTAGGGGGAGACATTGGTCTGGGCAGGCACCCTAGTGAGTCGCCGGGGCTGAGCCCGTCCAGAGGACAGGCCACCCAGCCCCAAAGCACTGACTGCACCCGGCTACGGGGTGCGCTCCCTCGGGAGCAGCGGTGCCGCTCCAAGGGAGCAGCCCGCATGAGATAAAGTTGCCTGTCCAGCCCGGAAGGGGGTTGTGGCGTGGGGGAGAAGGATTTCAGTTTCCTGAGGATAGAAGCACGGATAGGTGATGGCGCCTCTCTACATATTTTTTACGTCCTTCCGGTCAGTTTCCACTTTTAAGCGTGTATTTGCTTAGTCAGACACGTCACTTGAAGCGCCATTCGGCTAGCAATGTTATCAAATTCGGTGTTAATTTAGGCTCCCACATAAAGAATATCTATCGCGCCCCAAAACGGCCTGGCGCCGGGTGCCCCTACAGCTGGGCACCCACAATCATTTTAGGAAAATTACACCCCTGCCCGTATGTGTGGTTAACTTTAAGCTGATCCTCAAGTACCTATGTGTTTGTCTCTTCCTTATTGTCGTTTGATAAATTCCATTTATCCTACATGTATAATTCCCAAGAAGCCATCGCAGTACTAATCAGTGGCGAATCCCAGGGTGGAGGTCACATGGGTCATGACTTAGGGCCTGGGGTCACCACATGCCTGCCAGGAGCACCACAGGCCCGCCAGGGGTGCCAAAGGCCTAGCAGGGGCACCACGGGCCTGTCAGTGGCACCACAGGCCTGCCAGGAGCACCATCGGCCTAGCAAAAGCACTACAGGTCTTCCAGGGGCACCACAGACCTGCCAGGGGCACCAGAGGCCTGTCAGGGACACTATCGGCTTCGCAGGGGAACCACCGGCTTCGCAAGGGCACCATGGGCCTGTCAAGGGCACCACAAGCCTGTCGTTGGCAATTTAGGATTGTCAGAGGCACCACAAACCTGTCAAGGGCACCTGCGTTCTAACAGGGGCACCACAAACCTGCCAAGGCCCAGGGACACCACAGGCCTAGCAAGGACACCACAGGCCTGTCAGGGGCACCACGGGCCTGTCAGGGCCCATGGGCACCTAAGTCATGTCAGGGCCCACCGTAAGCTTGTCAGGGGGCAGGGTAGGTAGGTACCACAGTCTTTCCAGGGGCACCAGCGGCTTAGCAGGGGCACCAGTCATCACATGACTAACCAAAAATAAAGAAAAAAAAAACTGAAAATAGGGCACCACCAAAATAAAGTGGCCGAAATCCGTTGAGGTTTTAATTTTGGGCATAGGTAGGGGCACCACTTCGATTCATGAACCTCCCCTTAGAGTTTTCCCGAATCCGCCCCTGGTACTAATACATCAAATTTAAGGGGGGGGGGGCACCTTGCTATTGGTGCCCCCCTTGCAGAATTCAAGGGGGGGGCACGGTGCCCCGGTGCCCCCCCCCTCGTTCCGCCGCCTATGCAGTGATGCTCTGAAGCTTAAGTGACTACAATTATCGCATGTTTGTTACAAGTCGTCATTCGGAATACTTCGGCTGTGAGGGCGCCAAGAGCGTTTTCAAGGTACGCGTTCCTTGTACTATGTACATGCGCCTTTGAAGCTGCATTTCTTACTCATTATGCTACCGTTTGTCTGGCCAATTCGGTCAAGTAATCTTCAGCATGTCTTTGCATAAGTGTGCTGCCTATTTGAAATTTATACGGCACGTTGAAAAGTTATGGGCCTGCAAATGAAAGTATGGCTGGCTGGGGTAATGCCGAAAACGTGCAATTACGCACGTTAAAGCACGCTACGTGGACTTTACTGCTGTAGAATAGCAACGCGAATTTTTAGTCACACAAATTACACTTTCAACCGACACAACGGCCTGTTACCTATAAGGAATTATTTACCTGGCATTCTCTTATTATATCACACAATTATAACTTCCAGTGTGCACCAAGCGTCCTCAAGCTCTTAAAACGCGTGTCAGCTTTGATAAATTCTGGATAAAGTTTGGGATAAAGTGGCAAAACATCAATGTCGGCATTCCCCGTAGATCATTCTCCCATTTTCGGCTTTCCCCGCAGTCCGGGGCAACGCCGAAAAAGTCACTTCTTTGATATTTTTAGTTTGTGCGCTTAACGGTATGCGAATTCATTAAATGCGTCTGGTATGTTTGAAAGGCAAAAGACTGGCCTCTCGAATGACGCCAACAAGAATAGCTTATGTTGTCTACCTTGCGTGCTACGGGCGTCAGAAAAAAAGTATTCGGCGTTCCCCCAACTTCCCCTAGCTGACGGAAGCTAAGAAGGCCGTCGGGAGACCACGGCAGAGAGCGAGTCGTTGAAACCTGACGTGCAGAGTTCCCGTCGACCGAGTGGTAATCATTTACTTATTTGCTGATTGTGCTTTAAATACGATACGCAGTACGCAGCTTGTGTCGGAACGGCCGCAGCCGTCGGCACAAACTGAAGGACATCAGCCGTTCACAAATGGATAAAGTATCGAAAATCGAAGCACGGCGTTTCGAAGACGTTTCCTTATTTATCATCTCAAGACCTTCCCGCTCACCGCACCGTCCCTTCTGCCCCCCCCCCCCCCCACTGCAGCCCGCGCCTCCTTCCTGACATCAGTCAGTGGTAATTGTACGCAGTACGCACCTCTGCAGGGCGGCCAGCGCACTGCGCACATGCTCCGGCTCCAGGCGACGCTGCGAGTCTATGACCAGCGAGTAGACCAGCAGGCCGGTGCCCTGCTGTCGGAGGAACAGCCTGTTCCAGCCCGACTCCTGGAGGCCCATCCGGCGCAGACGGCGGCCTTCCACCAGCGCCAGGATCCCCACCTGCAGAGCCATGGTGTCCGCTAGTGCACTGCCTGGAGGTCAGAGATTTGAGGTCAAAGGTCAAAGGTCAGGGTACATAGAGCGAGGTCAGAGGTCAGAGAAATACTAGATCAGATCACAGATATCAGGGGTGAGGTCCGGTGTGCAGAGGTCAGGGCCATAGGCCACAGTCGCACATGAGCAGAGGCCGGAGTCAGTCGGATAGAGGTCGGGGTCACACATCGGCCAGAGTCACACAGCACACAGGCAGAGACTGCAGTGTCAGTCGGGCAGAGTCCGGAGTCACCTAGACAGAGTCTGGAATCGCACAGCTCACAGGCAGACTGCAGTGTCAGTCGGGCAGAGTCCGTAGTCGTCCACACAGAGTCTGAAGTCACCCAGCTCACAGGCAGACTGCAGTGTCAGCCGGGCCGAGTCCGGAGTCACACAAGAGTCTCAAGTCACACAGCTCACAGACAGAGACTGGTGTCAGTCGGGCAGAGTCCGGAGTCCGACTCCAGCGGTCCGTCTGGCCGGTCGATTCCCACGAGTCGGATAGGTGTCAGGTAACAGCTGACTGGAGCACCGAGCAGGACAGAGCGGGTAGAGGGCCGGAGAGGCAGGGAGAGAGGTGTCCTGTTGCAGGCGGCACTTACCGGCTCACATTCACAACTGACACATGAGCCACTGTTTGGCGCTGGCTGGGCGCTGGCCTTGGCCCTCAGCCACAGAGACAATCACTCCAGCCGGCCCTATCTTATCCGAAGCTTTAGCTGTGACATATGAGGTTTAGCGGATCGTAAAACGTGTTGTCAAGTGGATCTAACCATGCCTTTTGTTTGGTGGTCTACGCAGGGTCGATGGTTTCGTTCATAGGTCTTAGGAGTGGACAAGCTGGTGTGTATGTGGGATAGGAGGGGGGGGGGGGCACCAATGCTTGGTGCCAGTAATAAATAATTATTTAGTGGATAGAGGGGCGGTGTGCATGGCTGCATGACAGCAATGCTGCAGAGGGCACGGGGTCGGGATATCTGATCTATGTTCTACAAATAGATTGTGGCAAGTCAAATACGAGTGAAGTGAAATACCTAATCGCCATTAGTTACATATAACTACCTGGGCTGCGAATGATGATGTAACATTCACCAGATGATCGTTTCGTTTGATGGCGTAATTCCATGACCTCAAGGCTCAAGAACTGAAGGCATAGTAACCTGTTATCGACCTCATTCAACCGAATAGGAAATACGGAAAATACGGACGGACGCAAAGCCGGTGGTCAGGACTCAGCATATCGCAATTGCGGCATGCAGCACAAGCTGCATTTTGACCTCTCTTCATCTATCCAAATGTTCAATGTCAAAACACTGAAAAAAAGTTGGTGAGCCGTGAGACCTTCTCCTCCCCTTCGGTGATTCACACCAGGCGGCTCCGTTTCGCGATGCTGTGCAACACCAAGTCGCCGGGGCGCCAGCCAATCAGCGCATCCAGGCGTCAGCCGTGCCGCGCGCTGATTGGCTGCCGTGTCGACCGGCAGCGTGGGAATATTTTGGTTCTCATGAGGGGACGGAGGGACGGAGCGCGCATCTCGCAGCTTCCTGCCGATACCGGTCAGTTTTGATTTGGACTGGGAGTGGTGTGATGTGTTGCGGAGGATAGTGTTGGCTGACGTTCCTCATGATGGACAGCGCATTTCGTGAGTACAAGCCTACATACATTGTTACATACATTGTACATTGTTATTATCGCATGGACGGTGGACCCAGTTTTTTTTTTGTTGCAAAAAACGCGCTTAAAGCGGCTGATCGTGGCGAAACGTTAGGTACCATCGGGCCTCGAGTTGATGAACTCTACATCCATCCTGAAAATTTAACCCTCGCCGGCACAGGGGTGGGGGTGGGGGTTCATGCAACCCCTCCTAGGGTTTTTCGCGGATAACTCGCGTAAAAAGCGGCCGATCACAACGAAACTTTCAGTACCCTCGCATTGATCAATTGTACACCTACCCTGAAAACTTATTGACCCTGACCCAAATGACCTTTGACCTGTGAGTTGTGACCTACTTTCCGAGACCATGTTTGGCCGGAATCGCGATTCGGCGTCGCGTGTTAGCTCAAGCTCATGTCTGCGCCAACCGTCTGCGCGTTTCCAGTCTGCTGCCGTTTCCACATGCTGCCACCGGTTTGGGAAAAGTCTCTAGATTCATCAGGTCTAGAGATATTTCTACCAATTCGCTGTATAGGATAATAACATAACGGTGATTTCAAAAACGGAGTAAGTTTTTTTCGGGGGGGGGGGGACAACAGACAACTTGTTTCCCGGGAACGCCTGATCGAATTCAGGCTTGCAAGGCCGCGTTGGAAAGCGTTCGAGTAGACAAGCCTAATGGCTAATTAGTAATGCGAGTCATCATCGGATACTGGGGGGAGGGGGTGCGTGGGAGGGGGGATTGCCCCTCGACCGATAGCTCGGGAACGGCTGATCGGAGCCAGGCTTGCAAAGCGACGTTGGAAAGCGGTCGAGTAGACAAGCCTTGGTAATGCAGACTATCATTGGGGGGGGGGGATGCGTGGGGGGATATACTGGTGGGATGCGTGGGGGGAGGGGGGTTGCCCCCTGACCGATAGCTTGGGAACGGCTGATCGGAGCCAGGCTTGCAATGCGGCGTTGAAAGCGTTCGAGTAGACAATCCTAATTAGTAATGCAAATTATCATCAGGGTGCTGGGGGGGGGGGGTGCGTGGGGGGATTGCCCCTTGACGGATAGCTCGTGAACGGCTGATCGGAGCCAAGCATGCAAGGCGGCGTTGGAAAGCGTTCGAGTAGACAAGCCTGATTAGTAATGCAAACGGCATTCTTATATGGTCAGGTTGAAGGTCATTTACTTTTGATGACCTTGGTTAACTCTTTCGAGTTACATGTTGCTAGGGTCGTTTTTGAAGCTGATTTCGAAAGTAGCCTTCACTTGAACATTTACGGAGTAGTTTCATATGCCTGCTCGTGCGAAGTCAGCCTTACCAATACCGTGGTTTTAGTGCATTCGTAACATGTAACGACGCCGTCAGTGGTGACTTCACTCCTACAACGGACAGCCGGCAGGACGCTTACTAGATGACCTGACCTGACCTGACCCAACTCAACCTAGTCGAAATGCGTGAAGACTCATCTGGGAGAAAAACTAACATGACATTCGTGGTCAGCACCCCGAAAAAATAACAGCCTAGTTTTATGGAGTTCCAGCAGGTCCCGATTTCCCCGACTTCTGGGCCATTGACCTGACCTGGAAGGTCAATTAATGACATGCAATATTAAAATAGGGTAGCATCGGCTTCCTCTCGTCACGGGCAACACGCTCGTTTTTTCCGCTAAGGTATAGCTTGATCAGGGGCCGAACGGCATGGCGATGGTCCTACGGACCCTCTCCCCATGGGGAGAGGGTCCGTTAAACTTAAACTTGCAGCATCCAACGTTAACGTTAACATTAAACTTACATACAGCATCTATCACATGCTTGTGTTAGATGCTGTAAAAAGGTCGTATACGGGCGAGGGTTAAAGTGGGTAGGCTGACTGCTGTCTTAAAGTAGTAGATCCAGAGAGGCGATCCGTTGCAGGCTGCGGATGCGCCCCTTACCATTTCATTGAACATGATTATTTTCGTCGATGTTGGACGCTGCGGGGTTCAGGTTAGCTTTAAAGTTTAAATGTTCACGGGATCCGCCAGTGACTGCTGTGTTTAGAAATAATGAAGGGGTTGCGACTCGCTAATATATATTTTTTCATCAGTTAATCGCAACCTAGGAGCCACGCGTCGCCCGCCCATCAGGTAAAAAGGTATGGATATTTGTTCCGAATTCATGTTGCAAAAAAAGTCATCTGCAAAAAAGCCACCTGCATGCCGCGTTTCGTCAGGCGGCCGCTTCAAGACACAAACTCCGTAACACGTTACATGACAGTATGTTGGGTGCTCATGGAAGTTTGGAATAGGAAACTTCCGGTGACAATGGGGCTTGGGGAGCCCACACGCTCATGGGTGGAGCTTTTCCAGGGATGGTGGTGGGGCAAGAAGTCAAGTCCACATGTCCGATTATGAAGTTGAATAAAATGCCACATTAAATCAATTCCCATCGTTACAGAGATGATATTTTGCATCAAACAGACATTCCAAAGCTCTTCAATGCAAAAAAGATTAATTTGCCAAGCAACGAAGTCTTGGAAATCAGCTAAAGTTGGTGGGGCAAAATGGTGGGGCAGTCGCCCCACCAACTGTATAGGAAGCTCCGCCCCTGCACACGCTACCTTTTACTGCTTCCCTTATCCCGGTGTTTGTCGCATCTGTCTCAGCCTTCGTTTTCAGCATAAAAATCGTGTAGCATGTGCACCGAAAGCCGGTTTGGGTCTTCTTTCCACGGATTTAATGAGGCCCTAGGTACGTAGTACGTACCTACAGCTTGCATAAATATATCGGATTTTTCAATCAAAGACCTAAGGTCGGGTCAATTTCTTTACCTCCCCTTTATATATCCAATGAGGGAAAGCAATATGCCTTATTTTCTAAAAAAATCGCGTTGTAATGGCCAATTCTACCATGAATGACATCGTTCACATTTCACAATCCAACTTGACTACATTGATGCCTTGTTCACTGTAAATTGACAAGGTCACGTGACGTCATCAAGGGTCACCAAATCTAACCAAAATGTTTTTGCTGATGACTCAAGTCCTTACAGAAAAGAAGCACAGCCGCGCGAATGGTCTTCATTGTGGTCAGATCGTCAAGACTCGTGATGCTTATTGACGTTGGGCTCACGTGTTCTCATCAGGTCAGATTTTGACCTAGATCTTTCGAGGTTGAAGCATATGCATTTTATTGCGGATTGACAAGTGGATATCAATGGTGTGTTCGTTTTGCTCTAGCTTCATAAGTTTAGAAAGTATTCGCAAAAAAAAACTCATGGCTTCTAACGCCACTATTCCGATTTTCGAAAATTTTTACCCCTGGGGGCTGTGACGTACGTCATTTTCATTGTGACATCTCGAGACCGTGTTTGGAGCTGTTTTTTGGAGCTCTCGCCCATCGGGGTCGTCCCCGACGACCTCGACGTCGAACGAGGGGTCCAACGGACCTCCCTCGGTATTTCGTGAATAAATCGCGTAAAACGCGACCGATCGCGACGAAACTTTCATTACCCTCGAGTTAATCAATTTTATGCCTACCTGAAACGTTTCATGATCCTGACCCAAAGACCTTCGACCCGTGACCTATTTCTCGAGACCGTGTTTGGCCGGCATCGCGATTCGGCGTATGTCGGCTCGCATTAGCTGCGCGTTTGCAGTCTTTTCGTGGTTTCAAGCGCTCAAACATGTGATATGATGTTGGTCCCATGCATTAGGGTGGGTGTCAAGGTCACCTGATGATCAGGTCACCTTTGATGACCTCGGTTCACTTTTTTTTAGCTTTTTTCATGATTCTAGGTTTGTTTTTTTGGAGCTGCAATCGAATTTAACAACCATTTCATTTAAACATTTACAAAGTAGTTTTGGTGCCTTCGTAACATGTTACGAAGCTGCCAGAGGCGATTGGCACTTATAACGAATACCCGACAGGGTAAGGTCAGGTCAGATCAACCAGTAGGGGCCCTACTGGTTGATCTGACCTGACCTTACCCGATCTGGCCTAAATGCATGAAGACATCACTGTGATCAAATCAAACGTGACATTCGTGATCAGCACCCCGAAAACTGTAACGGCGGCCGTTTTATCGTGCTGGGTCGGGCTCGGCCGACGTGTGTTTGACCCGCGAAGAAAAAACGTTGATGAGAGTTATATTTTCTTGTATTTTCTTGTCGACAGCAGAGCAGAGCGAAGATCAGGTTGAAGAGCAGTAAACAGTCACTGGGCCACTGCAGGGGCGGAGCTTCCTATTCACTTGGTGGGGACTGGGGCGGCTGCCCCACCAACTTGCCATTTTGCCCCACCAGTAAGCGTTTTGTCCCACTAACTTAGCCGATTTGCAGGACTTTGCTGCTTAGCAAACCAACGTTTTTCGCATTCAGGAGCTTTGAAGTGTCTGTTTAATGCAAAATATGATATCTGTAATGAAAAGAATTGATTCATTGTTGTATTTTATCTAACTTAACAATCGGACGTTGTAGGTTTGACATCTTTTTGCCCCACCAACTTTCCTGGAAAAGCTCCTCCCATGGGCCACCAACTCAACTCTTGTGACCAGTGCACTGGTCACAAGAGTTGAGTTTCACTGGAAGTGCACAGTTTGAGAGCCAGCCGGAGACTGCCTCTGCACTCCCGGGAATGTCCCGAGCTAGCCTCGGGCATCCCACGCACTACGATCTTAGTGGTTAGCGATGGACGGAAATGAAACGTTACAGTACGCTAGTGGCTAGAAAAATGGGTACGGGGCGGAGTTTACACCGATTACTGCCCGAGGCGCACCTGGCATTAGATAAGTGTGACTAAACTATGATGGACAACTACAAGTATATAAACGGTAGATCTAAGGCTTTGTACAGTAACAGCCGGAGTCGAGATAGATGAATAGCGCGCGCCGCTAAATCCTCCTAAGATGGGCAATGGGCATGCGTGTCATCGTG